CTTCCTCATGTGACATTGGTACAAGAAACCTTGTATATCCTTTCCACATGCATCACAAATTCTTACACCACCACGAAGATTTTCCTCGTAGAATTTGAAGTTGCATTTCTTGAAATATTTATGAGAGATGTTTGGTTCAGCTCTTGCGCATTCCTCATGAAGATGAAAGCCGCACATTGTACACTGGTAACATGCGCAAATCCTACTCTTTGCATCCATCACATTGGTATGGGCTTCGACAGCATTAGTTTAAGCCTGTGTGATGTCTAAAATGATCGATCTCAGTGAGCAACATTGTTTGAAGAAATTAGATCTTGCTTAAATTACTGTGGTTTCGCTTCTAGGTTTCCCAACGGCTTTAATGTTCCTAAACAATCAACGCACAAACGTAAGATAAGTTTGCATGTTTTTAATATAAGTTTATAAGTAGAAACAAATACACATGGAGGAAAACAGAGAGAAGTAGGGAGAACATCGTCAATTTGTTTCATGTCTAATTAATTATCAAACAATCAACATCAAATAAAATATATTTTAAATAAACCATATAAAGAGATTATCTTTACTCAGGAACTTTCCTATTATATCCAACCTAAAAGAAAACATCTTCATCGTAAGTACCAAGTCTTCTATTACATTGAAACATCCATCACAAAAAAAAAAAGAAATCTGGTAAGGAAATATCTTAAGTTATTCAACCTATGAAAGAAAATGATATAAATCAAAATCAGTAAAAAGATTAAATAATCTAAAAAAAAAAGGATAAAATCTCATGTTTTAATTTTAATTACATCTAAATAGATACGTAATATGAATATGATGTCAATTCACTTTTTAGGCCTAAACTTTTAGAAACAGAACTGGTCATGAAGCCATCTAAGGACAAGCCTAATTAATATTTGTGTCGTTACGAACTAATGAATCAGAATCATCATATACATATACCACTATCTATAAGATAAAACCATTTGGTAGTATAAAAATGCGATGATGACGATATTGTTTGATAAATATAGCACAAAGTATTATACTTGATAATCAACTAAGAACAAATCGTATAGCATAAAGCATGTATACATGGAAGATTACAAACCTGTTTAGCTAATTCAAGAAGGAACTAAGAGATTCAGTATAAATGCAGGCTTTGAGAGATATGTAGAATCAGTAATAGCAGATTAATACATAACTTTTCGATGAAGAAGAGCTATATATAGGCTCTAACCTAACCGACTTAAAACTCTTTTAGTTCTATGATTTTTTTTATTTTTTATTTTTAAATGAGAATCAAGGTTAAAACTTTATATTTCTTCTTCATTAAGAAAATCTAAGTATCGGATTAGCACAAAACCATCTACTCGGAAACTACTTTTGGACCGTGAGGGGTTGTATACCCATACGAGAGAATGGCGACATATGTTGATATTGGATATTTTCTGTATGAATATTTTTTTTTTAATATTATATATCAAATATTATTGGAACGAACTTATTTAATTACGTTTATAACTTATGAAAGATCTGCTGAAGTTCATAGATTTGATTAAGTAAATTACTAATTAAGATAAGCTTGATGCATGTACAGAGTTGGAAATTATGTCCTAACTTTATCTGCTTGGTCTTTTATGTTTTATTTTTTTATAGGCATATCTATGTCAAGATCATTCCCCTTCGATGAAACCATTTAGTAAGGGTTTTCATTCATTGGATTTGATGGATGTAATTAATTCAAAACATCTGCTTTCTTTAGTTTACCTTAACCATCTTATCATGAAATAAAAAATAAAAAATAAAATTAGAATCGGCACATTTAAGAGAATATTTCCTAAATTACACATAACCAATAATAATTGATTCCAGTATACATCCCTTATACATTTAAGTAAACCCCACTTGCAAAACCCATCAACTAGGGGAACCCAACACAAACACACTCAACGAAAACAACTCTACACAGATCTACGTACAGGGAAAGCTCAACCAGATAACAATATAAGTGTAAACAATGTTAATCTCACAAACAAAATTAAAATACAAAATATTAACCATTCAAACAAAAAAGAAAACACAAAATATGTCAAAAAAACAAAAACAAACACACAAAATTAGGGGTTAGGGATTCATTACCAGCCGACGAGGATAAGTGACGGCAACCGGCGACTATGGTACTGGGAATGGGAATGACTGAAGACGACGAGTGAAGAACTGACTATTAATCGAAGATGGAGACACCGAGATAGGGAGTTGAACTTCAGACGAAGAAGAATGATGAGAGATTGAGATGCGGCCGCGATAAAGTTACTGAGAATCTGAGAGTGAGAGATTAGAGATGAGATGAGAGTGAGAGATCAGAGATGTGAGAGATCAGAGATGAGATGAGACTGAGAGTGAGAGGCGTGACTTCGTGAATGGCTGAATGCGTGATAAAATTAGGGATTACTGTTAGGGATTCAAACTCATTAGTGCAAATACGGGTGCCCGCAGGTTCACCCGTATAAACTGTGTGTATTTGGGCCGGGTACGGGTACGGGTACGAGTCTCAAAAAACGGGTTTAATAAATTGGACCCGTACCCTATATTTTTTACTCTGGTACGATCCAACCCGCGGGTCCAGACTCGTTTTGCCAGGTCTAGTCTTGAGCATGGCTTTTAGAGATACTACAGTTTTAACTAACAAAGGGTCACCTTGCAACACAGTTCTCTTCCCGTTACTATCGAATGCCATGGTTAAATTTTTCCAATTAGAGCACACATCTCCCAACGTGCTCAACCAAGATATCCCTAACACCACATCAGCCCCACTTAAATCAAATGGAAAAAATCTTGTGTTAACTCCACCTCCTGGATCCTCATACTCACATTTCTGCAGATTCCTTCTCCCCTGACAGTAAATCCATTGCCTACCATTACTCCGAATTGTTTCCCCTTTTCCAATTTCAAGCCTAGCTTCCTTACCAACTCCTTTGAGATGAAATTGTGGGATGCCCCACTATCAACCAACACAATCACTGTCTCATCTCCAATCATTCCCCGGATCTTCAAAGTCTTATCCATAGTCATACCCACAATCGAATTCATTAACTAAGCCAAGGGATCACCTGTTGGGTTGGCGTCATCGTCGTTGTCAGGGCTAGGTTCTTCTTTTTCCGGCGAGTCTTCATCGGTCACTAAGAGAATCCGTAGCGATCTCGCCTTACAACGGTGTGTGGGACTGTATTTTTCGTCACATTTGAAGCATAGTCCCCTCTCCTTCTTGCTTTGAATCTCGGCGTCAGTAAGTCATCGGAACCCTTCTCCTTGAGTTCCTTGCGTGGGTGCGTTAGTTGGCCTCTATCGTTCATTTGCTTTGCTTGGAACCAGATCTGTTCCTTTGCTTGAAACCAGATCTGAAACGCGTGAAAAATTATTTGGGAACCACTCATTTGTGCGCCAGATTTCTGGGTTGGGTGTGACCCGCTGGTATGGCTCCATTTTAGGTAGTTGTGTCTTAAATGGCTTGGGCCTTTGCTTTTCCAAAACCTAGTTTTTCTCCTCAACTCTGTGGGCTGCTCAATAAGTGCAAAGAGTGTATTTGGTTGGGCCAAACGCAGTTCAGTCCGAATTTCTTCTTTGAGTCCATTTAAAAAAATTCCCATTGGCAAATCTTCTCCTACCTCACGCAAATGAGCTGAATGTTCTTCAAAGTTTTCTCTGAATTCTGTTACTGTTCCAGTTTGTTTTAAGGCCATTAGTGCCTCATATGCTGATCCTCTAAAAGATGGACGAAATCTCCTAACCACAGCAGTTTTAAAAGCTTCCCATGAACTAATGGGTGCCCTTCATTCGACCCACTGATACCAATTCAGTGCCCGTCCCTCCATGCAAACCGCAACTGCCTCTACCTTTTCTCCCTCTATGTAACGATTGACTGAGAAATAGCGATCCGCTCGAAAGGTCCATCCGGAGGGATCTTCTCCATTAAACATTGGTAATTCTAATTTTTTTTTCCTTTCCTTTCCTCCTTAAGGCTCTCAATTTCCTTACTATGACCCATTCCACCATTGTCGTTACTGTTGGAGTTTTCCCCCAGATTTGACTTGCCCCGATCTCTACTATTTTGTGCTTCCTTCTTCTCTTTCAGTCTCATCCATTCCCTCATTTCCAGGAGATACCCTTTGATACTACCTAACTCCTCCTTCATCCCTCCTAGCTCTTTCTCCATATTACCCATTTCTTTTTCTAATCCCTCAACCTTTTGCTCCATTCTCGATTTAGGCATTACTAGGCTCTGATACCAGTTGATAAAACCCCAGGATTAACAAGCAACAAGCAACCACAAAATCAGATAATGCACCAGTTCTCCAGTGTTTTCGCAAGACAGATTTGGATGCATAGAGTTGGATTGATATTAAGAACTGAAATTGGTAAAAACAGAGCAATTTCCCAGGACTAAAATGAAAGAAAAATAACAGTAGATAAATCCCAGCAGTTCGAGGAGTTGGGGACCTCCCTGATTCACACTTTACAATTTTCTCTCCTTTAACCCAAAAGGCTCCCTCTTTTATACATGAATCAGCTAACAACTTTTATTCCCTTCTAACTAATTGGTTCACACGTCACCTGCCTCCAGCTTCTCTCCACTCAAGCATGTTTCTTCAATTCTATTCTGTTGGCCTCTCTCCACTAACGCATGCTTCTCCAATTCCAACCAATTATGTTAGTGGCTTTTTACCCTTGTGCCCTCTGTGCTGGTAAACCTCCTTGATAGGTGGTCTATCAGATTCACAAAGTTTACCATTTAGACCGTCAATTTGACCATACAAATTATTTGATGGTACTTTTCAATATATAAATCACAATGATTAATCAATATATTTTCTGTCCATATAGAGTATTGTAATGTTTGGATCAGTCGTATAACTATAAATTAATGTGAATAAATTAAGCTATTAGCTGTGAGTGGATAGTAGGCAAATAATAACTTCAAGCTATAAATATACAAAAATATAGCAATTTTTCCATCTCAAGAAAGAAAAATATATACACAAAAAGCAATGGGTTCATGATTGAACCAATATAAAAGTAAACTTTTACAAATAAGAGTATCACTGCCTATCATACAAAACAATCTATTATCTATGTACATTCATAATCAAGAAGTATGAATTTAATTATTTGAGAGTAAAGGTTCGAGGATGGCAAAAATCAAATCCGTTGGATTACCAAATATGGCAGAAACGACGAGCCTGATATACAATAATGCCTTCTTGCAGAAAGTTTTAGCCTTCCTTAACATTGAGCTTTGCCCACTTAGTAGTGCCACTTCTTGACTTGGAACTGCAATGTTCTGCAGTGCTAAATGACCATTAACCTCTGTAATACCAGAGAAATGGGCTCTCCTCCAATTGTCTACAATCAGATCTTTCACACACGCCACATGATAACAGTACTTACCAGAAGAGGAAACATACGAAAAACCTTTCACCCGGTTCGAAGTTTTCTTACGTTGACATTTTAAGCACTTTAATTGCACCTTGTTACTAAGGTAAAGCTTGATCCCTTCAGGACCGGTTAGGGTTTCTTTGAGCTTTGCGCAGCATGGGTGCAAATCAAATGCTTTCTCATGTGAGCATTGGTACAAGAACCCTTGTATATCCTTTCCACATGCATCACAAATTCTTACACCACCACGAAGATTTTCCTCGTAGAATTTGAAGTTGCATTTCTTGAAATATTTATGAGAGATGTTTGGTTCAGCTCTTGCGCATTCCTCGTGAAGATGAAAGCTGCACATTGTACACTGGTAACATGGCGCAAATCCTAGCTCTTTGCATCCATCACATTGGTATGGGGCTTCGACAGGCATTAGTTTAAGCCTGTGTGAGTGGCTAAAATGATCGATCTCAGTGAGCAACATTGTTTGAAGAAAATTAGATCTTGCTTAAGATGTACTGTTGTTTCGCTTCTAGGTTTTCCAAACGGCTTTAATGTTCCTAAACAATCAACGCACAAACGTAAGATAAGTTTGCTATGTTGTTTAATATAAGTTTATAGTAGAAACAAATACACATTGAGGAAAACAGAGAGAAAGTAGGGAGAACATCGTCAATTTGTTTCATATCTAAATTAATACTATCAAACAATCAAACAGTCAAATTAAAATATATTTTAAAATTAAAACCATATAAAAAGATTATCTTTACTCAGGACATTTCCTATTATATCCAACCTAAAAAGAAAACATCTTCATCGTAAGTACCAAGTCTTCTATTACATTGAAAACATCATCACAAAAAAAGAAAAAGAAGATCATGGTAAGGAAATATCTTAAGTGATTCAACCTATGAAAGAAAATGATATAAATCAAAATCAGGTAAAAAGATTAAATAATCTAAAAAAAAAAAAGGATATAAATCTCATGTTTTAATTTTAATTACATCTAAAATAGATACGTAAATATGAATATGATGTCATATTCACTTTTTAAGGCCTAAACTTTTAGAACAAAGAACTGGTCATGAAGCCATTTAAGGACAAGGCCTAATTAAATATTTGTGTCGTATACGAACTAATGAATCAGAATCATCATATACATATACCACTATTCTATAAGATAAAACCATTTGGTAGATATAAAAAATACGATGATGACGAAGATCTTTTGATAAATATATAGCACAAAGTATTATACTTGATGATCAACCAAGAACAAATCGTATAGCACAAAGCATGTATACATGGAAGATTAACAAACCTTTTTAGCTAGATTCCAGAAGGAACTAAAGAGATTCAGTGTAAAATGCAGGCTTTGAGAGATATGTAGAATCAGGTAATAGCAGATTAATACATAACTTTTCTGATGAAGAAGAGCTATATATAGGCTCTAACCTAACCGACTTAAAACTCTTTTAGTTCTATGATTTTTTTTATTTTTTATTTTTAAAATTGAGAATCAAGGTTAAAACTTTATATTTCTTCTTCATTAAGAAAATCTAAGTATCGGATTAGCACAAAACCATCTACCTGGAAACTACTTGTGGACCGTGAGGGGTTGTATAACCATTACGAGAGGCAGTTGGGACCTCCCTGATTCACACTTTACAATTTTCTCTCCTTTAACCCAAAGGCTCCCTCTTTTCATGCGAAATTGGGCAGAACATACCCGAATGCCACTTCTCCTCCTCGCCGCGGCGAAGATTGGATTTCCAACTTCACCAAAACTTAACCAATTTTCAAGGCAACAATTCAACCAACTCCACATACAAACTCAATTTAAGTTAAAACAATAAACTTTTAACTAATACAACAACTCTTAAATACGTACCTCAAGTGGGATATTACAGTAGGTTAGGGGTTTTGGAGGATTATTGTAAGGTTATGGCATGGTCAGTTGGTCTCCTTAGAGATAGACAAGAGTGTTGGTCAAACAATTGGTGGAATTCATTAAGTAATGCAGCAACTTCCGGCTCCATGGTTTCACTCTGCTCTTTGACTTTCCTCTCGATAGAACAAAACTCAACTACATACCTTGCACCCTCACTCTGTAGTGTCTTGAGCATGACTTTTAGAGATACTACATTCTTAACTAACGAAGGGTCACCTTGCAACACAGTTCTCTTCCCCGTTACTATCGAATGCCATGGTTAAATTTTTCCAATTAGAGCACACATCTCCCAACGTGCTCAACCAAGATATGCCTAACACCACATCAACTCCACCTAAATCAAATGGAAAAAAATCTTGTGCTAACTCCACCTCCTGGATCCTCATACTCATATTTCTGTAGATTCCTTCTCCCCTGACGGTAAATCCATTGCCTACCATTACTCCGAATTGTTTCCCCTTTTCCAAGTTCAAGCCTAGCTTCCTTACCAACTCCTTTGAGATGAAATTGTGGGATGCCCCACTATCAACCAACACAATCACTGTCTCATCTCCAATCATTCCCTAGATCTTCAAAGTCTTATCCATAGTCATACCCACAATCGAGTTCATTGACAAAGCCAAGGGATCACCTGTTGGGTTGGCGTCATCGTCGTTGTCAAGGCTGGGTTCTTCTTTTTCCGGCGAGTCTTCATCGATCACTAAGAGAATCTGTAGCGATCTCGCCTTACAATGGTGTGTGGGACTATATTTTTTGTCACATTTGAAGCACAATCCCCTCTCCCTTTTGCTTTGAATCTCAGCGTCAGTAAGTCATCGGAACCCTTCTCCTCGAGTTCCTTGCATGGGTGCGTTAGCTGGCCTCTATCGTTCATTTGCTTTGCTTGGAACCAAATCTGTTCCTTTGCTTGAAACCAGATCTGAAATGCGTGAAAATTTATTTGGGAACCACTCATTTGTGCGCCAGATTTCTGGGTTGGGTGTGACCCGCTGGTATGGCTCCATTTTAAGTAGTTGGGTCTTAAATGGCTTAGGCCTTTTTTTTTCCAAAACCCAGTTTTTCTCCTCAACTCTGTGGGCCTACTCAATAAGTGCAAAGAGTGTATTTGGTTGGGCCAAACGCAGTTCAGCCCGAATTTCTTCTTTGAGTCCATTTAAAAAAATTCCCATTAGTAAGTCTTCTCCCACCTCACACAAAGGAGCTGAATGTTCTTCAAAGTTTTCTCTGAATTCTGTCACTGTTCCAGTTTGTTTTAAGGCCACTAGTGCCTCATATGCTGATCCTTTGAAAGATGGATGAAATCTCACAACTACGGCAATTTTAAAAGCTTCCCATGAACTAATGGGTGCCTTTGATTCGACCCACTGATACCAATTCAGTGCCTGTCCCTCCATGCAAACCGCAACTGCCTCTACCTTTTCTCCCTCTGTGTAACGATTGACTGAGAAATAGCGATCCGCTCGAAAAGTCCATCCAGAGGGATCTTCTCCATTAAACATTGGTAATTCTATTTTTTTTTTTTTTTTTCCTTTCCTTTCCTCCCTAAGGCTCTCAGTTTCCTTACTATGACCCATTCCACCATTGTCATTACTGTTGGAGTTTTCCCCCATATTTGACTTGCCCCGATCTCTACTATTTTGTGCTTCCTTCTCCTCTTTGAGTCTCATCCATTCCCTCATTTCCAGGAGATACCCTTTGAGACTACCTAACTCCTCCTTCATCTCTCCTAGCTCTTTCTCCTTTCTCCATATTACCCATTTCTTTTTCTAATCCCTCAACCTTTTGCTCCATTCTCGATTTAGGCATTACCAGGCTCTGATACCAGTTGATAAAACCCTAGGATTAACAAACAACAAGCAACCACCAAATTAGATAATGCGCCAGTTCTCCAGTGTTTTCGCAAGACAGATTTGGATGGATAGAGCTGGATTGATATTAAGAATTGAAATTGGTAAAAACAGAGCAATTTCCCAGGACTGAAATGAAAGAAAAATAACAGTAGATAAATCCCANGGACCAAAAATATTAATGCATGTTTTCAGGCCATAGTCATCTCAGCCCACATTTACTTCAAATCAGTTTAAAGTCCATTAGAGAGAGTCATGCCATAAATACCAGTAGTGAGGCACAGTTCAGTAGACCATCCTCATACACAAATTTGTACTGAGAATATTTTGGCAGAATAAGTTTCACCTACCCAAGGTTTGGACAAATGACAGACTGGTACCCAAAAAGTTTCAAAAAGACAAACAGGTACCTTTTGTTAGGGAAAAGACTAGAATGCCCTTTGAGAAATATTAATCTATTTTTTTAATTACTTTTAGACCCCTTAAATTTATTAATTCTATCAAATACTCCTAGAAAAAAGTTTAAAAATTAACAAAAACACCCCCACCCACCCATACTTGCCAGATTCCGATGGCCACCGCTGGTGGTAGCCGAAATCTGTCACAATGGTCTACGCTACCACCGAAAATGGCTAGTAGTTCACCGATCTGGCCTTTTTCGGTCAGATCCACCACGGATCTGGTCGGAAAAGGCCAGATCTGACGTGAGAAGGCCAGATCTGGCCGGAAAGTGACGGCCAAAGATGTGGCCGTCGTTGACTGTCAACAATCCGACCAGATCTGTGGTGGATCTGACCGAAAAAGGTCAGATCTGTGGTGGATCTAACCGAAAAAGGCCAGATCAGTGAACTACCGACTATTTACAGTGGTAACCGCCGGAATCTGACAAGTATAGGTGAGTGTGGGTGTTTTTATTAATTTTTAAACTTTTTTCTAGGGGTATTTAATGGAATTAATAAACTTAAGAGAACTAAAAGTAATTAAAAAAATAGACTAATATTTCTCAAGGGCATTCTAGTTTTTTCCCTAATAAAAGGTATCTATTTGTCTTTTTTAAACCTCTTGGGCACCGATCATTGTTTCTCCAGACTTTGGGTAGGTGCATGTCGTTTCCCCTAATATTTTTTAGTAAGTTAGTAACTAGAGTCGGAACAATTGAGATATACGAGTGCATAATTACAACGTAAAATCCCAGTTCTTCTTGTTGCAGCAGCGTGGAATAGATGTTTGGCAAAAGCTAGCCAAAAGGTTCATATGTCTGTTTTATTGTTTTTGAATATCTTAGACGGTTCAAAATTTTCAGAAAGTTAATCAGAAAGGGTGCCCAACTGCAGTTTTACTTCAATATGAGAAGCAACATAGCAAATTTCTGTATCTCTAATTGTACGGGCACATCACACATTGAAGTAACTCCCACGTTTAAAGCACTTTCAGAGCAATTGTAAAAAGAATAGATACATGGAAAGAGAAGGTCGAAGATAATATGTTAGCTTCTGGGTAATTTTCTCGTGGAAACTAGAATTCTAGTTGAAATAAACTAATGAGTTTCCGAGAAAATCTTTTATATTGTCATGTCGCCGTTACAGTAGGGGAATTTATGAGTCTCCAGGCATCATCCTAGGGCAACAATTAACCTAACCAAGCTTTTTTTAATGCATTATTAATGTTCATTGCACACTTTGACGTTGAATACCTCATCAAAATTGTAATGGTATATCAATTTGCCCCCAAGTTTTCGCTGCTTGTGCTTGATACAATACTAGACAGAATTTTATACGACAATAATTGAAGTGTGTGCTTCTGTATCTATGTTACTTTTATAACTGATGGTAGTTGGGATTTTTTTTTTTTTTTTTAATTAAACCCGGTAATTGTCCCTTTCGTTACTTAAAAACAAAATTCTTTAGATATAACTAATCCTCGAGATTAAAGGACTTGTTATCTAGCCACAAGGAGAGAGGTTAGTCAGATATTTTAGCAAATGATGATTTTATAGATAATACAAATAATTCTTAACAAGTTAGTATTCACTGATAAACTTCCGTGTTTTTACTGTTGCTAACTTAAACATGCCTGCTGGTTATTTTGGTTGGTGACTTCTGTATGTGGGGTTGGGCGGCTATTAATCAAATGGGTCTTGACGTGTCATTCACTATATATTGCCCTGATTTACATAGACATGACTATTCTACGTGCAAGGAAGTTGTCTGGAAGAGAGAGGGGAAATTAAGAAAAGGAAACTCAGATGAAGTCGTTTCATCTTCTATGATTGTAACACAAGTCAATTTAATTAAGTATATGAAATTTCAATAATGTTATGATTTTCCAATGACTTGGGAAGCTTCTGAATTGCTATTATCTCACCATTATAGCAACATTTGACCAATTCACATTTGAAATAAGTTCTTTGTGTTAAGGACAAACTTTTGGGCCAAAAATATTAATGCATGTTTTCAGGCCATAGTCATCTCAGCCCACATTTACTTCAAATCAATTCAAAGTCCATTAGAGAGAGTCATGCTTCATAAATACCAGTAGTGAGGCACAGTTCAGTAGACCATCTTCATACACAAATTTGTACTGATAATATTTTTAGTAAGTTAGTAACTAGAGTCGGAACAATTGAGATATACGAGTGCATAATTACAACGTAAAATCCCAGTTCTTCTTGTTGCAGCAGCGTGGTATAAGACAAAATGAACAAAAAATTTGGAGGATCGCAGCCCACAGGGACTCCGTCACTGGCTTGGTCCTGCGTTGTGGTTATCGTCTCACTTCTTGCTGGTGCTTCCGTCGTCCACAACATCTACAAGCCTGATCTTGTAATTCTCTCATTGTCTCTCTACTATATTTTTTTGAATGATCATAACTTGTTTGATAAAATGCCTGAATCACCAGTTTGCAATTCCTGCTTGCCCATAAGTTGTTTGATTAAAAGATGGAGATCTAACTCTAATAAATAAAATTTGGGCTTGTTGTTTTGGATGCAGACACTACCTCCGCTGGAGAAAGATGATGGAACTAACAAGAAAGAACCTGAGAAACCATGAAAATCTCTGTTGGCTTTTCACTTTTATTAGTTGAATATTAGAATGTTTATCTGGGTTCCTCTAGCTGAATACTTTTGTTTGAATATTTGAGAACTAAATCATTTCGAAATACGAGGGAACACTGATGTTGCACTGCAATTTTTCATTGATACGATGAACATTCATTTGTTACATAGAATTTTTTATTTTTTTCTTGGTTTGACATATATCCATGGAACATTTAACAAGTGGTCAATCTTGATAAGCTGTGATATCCTGTGGAAAAAAAAGTTTGATGGAGAAGTAACAAGAAACAACAACCTGAGAAACCAGTAACCCTAATTTGTTGGCTTTTGTTGCTTAGATATCTTTGAATTGCGATGTGGTAGCTCGCAATTGATCAGATCGCAATTAGTTAGTAGGATCCATACAAGGCTGTTGTGAACTTATCAAATATAAGTTATCATATCAAAGTTGTAAGAGAAAGTTTGTGAGAGATAATTGTTGGTGTAGTATTATTCTTGAATTGCCTACAAGCAAGGTAGCTATAATTTGGCCATTGAACTTAAAATGTAGAACCGTTACTAGTTTGATGGTAAAAGAGCAAAAGTGTCCAATATGGATTTTTTATTCGAGTTTCTCATGCACTAATAAGGATGGCCACTGAGGTGATTTAACTGATCATTCACTTCGGGACCCAGAAAAATTAGTTAAAGTGTATGCAAGCTAACTCAAACATCTTCAATAAAATAAAATAATAAAAAAAAAACTAATAGGGGTGACTACTGAGGTGATTTACCCGGTTATTCATTTTAAGATTCGATGAATTAATTGAGATATCCGTAAGTTGGCTTAGAGATCGTTGGTAAAAAAGAAAAAAACTTGAAATTTAGAATGTTAGAAGAATTGAAAATTGAGATGGTATATTCATTATTTTTTATAAACTCATGTTTCATAATAGATATTAATAAAGTGATTAGATTATAAGAAGTGTTTACTTAGAGTTAAGTGTTTTAAGATAGAAGTATGTGCCAGCTATGTATGTAAATTAATTAAGACAAGTGAGATTCATTACCAGTTAATCAATGATTCCTAATCCTCTGCGAACTATTTTGAAATTATGTACGTGATTGTGATCGCCATTATAAATGCAAAACTTAATATGGTTGGTTAGAAGTTATGTGAAGATATACTATATTATTTAAATACAAAAACTAATTTCATCTTTTAAACTTTGCATCTCAAGAGTCAAGAGTACATATGTTTTTTTGGCTTTAACGCCAACCGTCGATTTTTGCCTGATAGCCATCAAGTGGGCCACGCCTTTGGTGGTCCCAATCAGAGATATATGACGTGTTAACATCATAAAGGCTCAAGTCTAAGACAAGGACGGTCCGATAAGAAATCAACAAACAAGAATGGATGTCGTTGATCGGTTTTGCAAGTTAGCTCTCCTACCCCAACCACACGCCTTTAATATCATAACATTCATCTCCCTAGCGCCTCTCGACTTTCTCTTAAATATATTCATTATTATACATTTATTTATTGTCCTCCCACATGTTTTGATCCACCTAGCTCTCTCTAAATCTTGAACAATATTCTCTACTCTTAAAAGGGTTTGTTGTTTGAACTATTTTCTCAATTGGGTCTCTTTCATTTCTTCCCCAAGATGAAGGTCTCTGTGGTTTCACGCAGTGGTAGAGAAGTTATCAAAGGAGGCCTCGAACTTAACGATTCGGTATTTTTACTTTGTTTTGTTCCACTAATGTTTTTCAGTGAACATTTGTGAATTGCGATAGTTGTTTCATTTGTGTTTTTGGGTTTGCTTTGCAGGCTACCGTAGCTGATTTGCAGGAGGCCATTTATAAGCGAAGTAAGTGCTTGATATGGTTCTCTTTTTCGCCTATTAGAATTATCAATTTATAGAATTGAGTTTGTTAAACTTTTGGTTGTTTCTTCGGTCAACTTATAAAAAATATCTAGCCTTTGGCTCTTGCTGCTAGTTTTCGCCGCATTTTTAAGAATACTTTATGCTTTTCAGTAATTGACAAATCCTGATGCATCTTTTTTGGTTGTAAATCATGTGAACTATGTGACGGAGGTTAACAATTTTTTGAATTTTGTAAGAGGTGAACTTCATTGATGCGAAATTTGTTTGCTTGTTAGTATCATTCCATCATCTGCTGGTCACTGCCTTTGCAGAAAGTTCTGTTAAGGCTTATAAGTTTTACATTAAATGAGTTATTTTCAACACAGCAGGGTTTGCTAGTGCAATTTTTATCTATTAAAACCTTGTCTGGTAGAAAATTTGCTCCAGAAATTCTTTTTATTTATGTTTCTGAGAGGGAAGTAATCTGATATCTCAAGCATAATCAGAAGATTAAATATTTATGAAATGCATCTATTTAGCCTTCACTTTGATTAGACTTCTTGTTTAGTTCATCATACTATTTTTGTTGCTTAGACTTATATCTAGTACTTTTATAACCATACCACTTGCCGCTTTTCTGTTTCCTGCATATGTGTATGCATTGGAAATCACCAATATAATTTGAATTAATAACATAATTTGCTTGCCTTCTGTTGACAGCCAAAAAGTTTTACCCTTCTAGACAGCGGCTAACTCTCCCTCTCCCACTGGGATCAAAGGAGAGACCTACTGTCCTCAATTCCAAGAAGAGTCTAAAAGACTACTGCGATGCAAACTCAAGCAACTTGACTGTAGTGTTCAAGGACCTGGGCCCGCAAGTTTCTTATCGTACACTTTTCTTCTTTGAATACTTGGGTCCTTTGATCCTCTATCCTGTTTTTTACTACTTCCCTGTGTACCAATTCTTTGGCTACAAAGGGGAGCGTGTTATCCACCCAGTTCAGACATATGCTTTATACTACTGGTGTTTCCACTACTTCAAGCGAATTATGGAAACTTTCTTTGTGCACCGCTTCAGCCATGCAACCTCACCACTTTCCAATGTGTTTCGCAATTGCGCATACTATTGGACCTTTGGTTGTTACATTGCTTACTATGTAAATCACCCGCTTTACACCCCTGTTAGTGACCTTCAAATGAAGATCGGTTTTGGGTTTGGATTGCTTTGTCAGGTCGCAAACTTTTATTGCCATATCTTGCTGAAGAATTTGCGCAGCCCTAGTGGCAGTGGAGGATATCAAATCCCTCGTGGTTTTCTGTTCAATATTGTGACATGTGCAAATTACACAACAGAAATTTATCAGTGGTTGGGTTTCAATATCGCAACACAGACTGTTGCAGGTTACGTCTTTCTTGTGGTTGCTGCTGCTATCATGACTAATTGGGCCCTTGCAAAGCATCATCGCTTGAAGAAGGTACATTCTAAATTTTTGATACATGCATTTGTTATTCTGTTGCATTTGGACATTAAAGTTTGGGATTATTTATATTGGGTTGATTTATGTCTTGATTTTCATATCACCCTCCATTTAGGCTTACACTTGTTCAGTTTGAATTGGATCTCAGCACAATGAAATTTTGATTTTTTATGCATATTGGATGCATAACTATAGAAATATTCATATATGTTCCGAAAATGAAGTCTGGATAATCAAACACAAATAAGTGGACTGGATATGTGTGGTCTGGGTAGATTGTACTTGGATTAACTAAAATTAGATATTATATTTACCTTGATTCATTCAGGTTAAGTGTTTCATGATTACTTTCATATGATCTGATTATATCACAATCTGGTCTGATAATGAGACTCTCATTGAGAGCCTATTCTGCTATTGTTATTGCCTAGACAGTGAAGATATGGTAATATTAACCAGTCCATATGAAATATAAATTGGGAGGGAAACCACTTTTTAGGCATTTGAATCTCTTGATTTTTATTATAATGCCTATATGTAGATTGGTCTTGATTCTAGAGACACAGAATAATCTGCTTACTCCTGATTCATTGACATCTGCAGCTATTTGATGGGAAGGACGGAAGGCCCAAATATCCACGCCGATGGGTCATATTGCCCCCATTCCTGTAGAATTAAACAAGCATGTTTATTGTTGGTTAACTATTGGATTCAACAACTAGAATGCTCGTCAGATACGAATTAGAGATGGCGTATTCACATAGTTTCACACTATTGGATCTAGTCCTTCATTTAGACATTGTAATTCATTTAAAGTTCATGATTTGTCATCTAAATCTAGTAACTCTGCAATTGATCTGAACCTTGTTCGTTTTAACGATTTCTTGACTCTTTGGTGTGCCATTACTTTCTTGTTCTTTCTTTGTTATACCTGAATGTAACATCATGGCTTTTCGGTTCTTGCACAAATCTATTACTTGAAGTCTTGAATTTGAATACAACATTGGCAAGATTGGACTGATAAATGAATAATTGTGTAACTGATGTTGTTCATTTGCAGAACTGAGAGCTCTAATTAATCTGTACCAGAATCAATATTCATCGGTATGTTTAATGAGGTTTGATTGAATTTACAAAATCCCTTATATTAAACTGAGTAAAAATATCCTGGGGGGTTTGAACGCATAAGTTGACATCAAAATCCATAGCAATCAAATGATAGGGTTGGATTATGGATAGCTGAGAGTGGAGAATAACTCTTGTGTGTAGGGGTGGCCACTGGCCTGGTCTTCGTCATTAACTTTAGGGTCTCAAAAATTAATTGTAGTATACGAAAATCTGTCTAATACTCCCAATAAATTTAAAAAAAAAAAAAAAATACTATTGTGTGCTGGAAAGGTTTGCTTCCAGCAACTTTGGAGCCCAGCAAACCTTGGAGCCAAGTCTATTTGAAAAGACACTCTGCAAAATAACCTTTATCTATCAAAACCTTTCTGCTTTGTCTACTTAAATCTAAACATCTTAAACTATCTCATGGTTGTCACTCAATTATAAACCACCCACTGACAGGTGTTGTATTTTACACATTTTCTGTTAATTAAAAGGCTTATAATTATATCTTTAATCTATTTTATTTTATTTATAATCGACGGGCAAAATTGTAAAAGAAGAGTACTGGAAAAGCGGATGGCGATAGATGCAGCAGGAATAATGACCCCAAAAGAGGCTATGTATAAGCTGTACCCAATAATTAATCCAACGGTTCACATCTCATCTCGCTCTTATTTTATATTAATTTCATTTCCTCTTCTCGCCTTTAAAACAAGGAGCCCTCCATTTTGTGTGCCTCCTCCTGCGCTTTCATCTCTTTCCCATCGTCTTAACAGGTCTTTTTTCTATACATTATTATTATTATTATTTATTTTAAAACAATGTGTTCTAGTTGTTTATAATTTTCCTTTATCTTTCTTATCGATCTGTTGACTAATAGCTCGTAGAATAGATCTGGTGAATTGCTTCATTTTTCCAATGGATTTATTGGCATTTATGTTTGATCGTTGATTTGTGATTTAGGTTTTGATTTAGATGAATTATGATATGATTTTATGTAATTTGTGTTATTGTAGCCTTTAGATTGTATCCTAAATGTAGTGTTTGGTTCAGTAATTTGTTTAATGAAAATTTATCATCAAACTAATGGAGGAACATAGTTAATTCTGTGCCAATCAAGATTCAATTTTGATATTCTCAATGCCAAATGAGGCGAAACCAGGACAATGATTTTGTACTTGTTTTAATTGAGAAATTATTTTCTTGCCTTAATTGATTACTTTTTATATAAAAATGTATGTTGCAATTTTATTGAGGAACAGAGTATAGTTCTTTTCTAATCAAGATTCAAAATTTGATTTTCACAATTCAAAATGAGGCAAAACATGGACAATCATGGTGTGGTTGTTTTGATTAAGAAATTCTGTTTTCGTCTTAACTGATTGCGTTTGGATATTGTAGATAGAAGTAGAAGATGGCAGATGCTGAGGATATTCAGCCACTCGTTTGCGATAATGGAACAGGAATGGTTAAGGTAATGAACGTGAATGGAAGTTATTATTGAATGGTTTGTTTGAACCATTAAATTTTGTGATGATATTTTTGCCTTTTAGGCTGGATTCGCTGGCGATGATGCACCACGAGCTGTGTTCCCTAGTATTGTTGGCCGACCCCGTCACACTGGTGTGATGGTTGGTATGGGCCAGAAAGATGCATATGTTGGTGATGAGGCTCAATCTAAGAGGGGTATTTTAACTTTGAAATACCCAATTGAGCATGGTATTGTGAGTAACTGGGATGACATGGAGAAGATTTGGCATCACACTTTCTACAATGAGCTTCGTGTTGCACCAGAAGAGCACCCAGTTCTCTTGACTGAGGCTCCTCTTAACCCCAAGGCTAATCGTGAGAAGATGACGCAGATTATGTTTGAGACCTTCAATACTCCTGCTATGTATGTTGCCATTCAGGCTGTTCTTTCATTGTATGCAAGTGGTCGTACCACTGGTAAGGATCTCAAATTTATAATACAATCTGTTCTCTCTGTTAACATATCTTGTTATTACAAGACGCTAGAAAGGCTGAATTATTGATTTGAAGACTTGAGTTGTGATATATAACTAGAATCCTTAAGAGTATTTTCTCTTTGGTATTGAGTTGAATGCCTTTGATTCTAGTGATTTCTTCCTAAGACATCTAGTGGTTAATCATCTTATTGATTTTTGGAGATGTCCAATTCCTTCATTTGTTTTCTTTGAATTTCATTTATGTTTATTTAGGTCATGTGGACATATGTCTTTTTTAACTTTAAAACATGTATATTGTACCTTTGCCTGTAGGTATTGTGTTGGACTCCGGTGATGGTGTCAGTCATACAGTTCCAATCTATGAGGGTTATGCCCTGCCACATGCCATCCTTCGTCTTGACCTTGCTGGCCGTGACCTCACTGATTCTTTGATGAAAATCCTCACTGAGCGTGGGTATTCTTTCACCACCACAGCTGAGCGCGAAATTGTCAGGGATATGAAGGAAAAACTAGCCTACATTGCCCTTGACTATGAACAGGAGCTTGAGACTTCCAAGACCAGCTCTGCTGTAGAGAAGAGCTATGAATTGCCTGATGGACAGGTTATCACCATTGGTGCTGAGCGTTTCCGTTGTCCTGAGGTCCTTTTCCAACCATCCATGATCGGTATGGAAGCAGCAGGCATCCACGAGACCACATACAACTCCATCATGAAGTGTGATGTTGATATCAGGAAAGACTTGTACGGCAACATTGTCCTCAGTGGTGGTTCAACCATGTTCCCTGGTATTGCTGACAGAATGAGCAAGGAAATTTCTGCCTTGGCCCCAAGCAGCATGAAGATTAAGGTGGTGGCACCACCTGAGAGGAAATACAGTGTCTGGATCGGAGGGTCCATCTTGGCTTCCCTTAGCACCTTCCAGCAGGTATGTCTCTTTTCATGCGCATGTACAGCAAATACATAGTCCAATTACCTGTCTTATTATTTTCTCGATTGTTTCTAATTGTCTGATTTACTTGTTTTTTGAGTGCAGATGTGGATTGCAAAGGCAGAGTATGATGAATCTGGGCCATCAATCGTGCATAGAAAGTGCTTCTAAGTGTTCACCAATAGGATTGTTGAAGAAAGGAGTACTGATTTTGTTTTTGCAACCCCTTTTCATTCTAGCTTTGTTATCCTTCTATTCTATGTTTATTTTCATGTTGGAGTGATGACTTTGAGAAGGCTGAGGAGTTGATTTTCAAAATGGGCCAATTCTTTCATTGTCGTTTATCTTAGAGAAAAGCTGTTGACGTCCAATTTCTGTTGCCGCCTAGGTATTTGTTAAAATATCATTTTGTCTTGAGGGGTTGGGGGTTTATGTGAAATGGGCCATCAAATTTCGCTGTCACTGATGCACTCGGAGATCTTAAACTGTTTGCCTATTGGTTATTGGAGATTAAATCTATTTTAATTTCAATTAAAGTGCCGGCGCAATCACAGTATTTCTTGGGCCAAATTTTAATCCCAACTTTATAATTAAATTAAAAAGAAACATCTCTGAAATCTCTACACAACCAGTCTGAAACTGGATGTTTAATCGTCATCAGTCTTGGCCTTTTTGAATCCTCGTAAAGCACCTTTTATTTCATATTACTACTAATGTAAAAGGTTGAACAAACTAAAAGTGCCAATAGTTGGCATATTTTTATCTCACTTTTCTTGAGGGCTAATTCAGTGATAAAAGAGAGAATTTCGAAGGCAAAAGCTATCTTTAGAAAGGGTGAATTGATGAGTTAAATTTGAGTCCTCTAAAGATTAATTTTACTTCCCCTGACTTATGAGAGAATTACGTCTCAAACATCCCAACGAGAACCAACCCTTAGGTGGTCGAATAGTTTAATAGAGACTTTTGAGTGTATTACTCAAGAAGTCTTGAGTTCGAATTCCTCTTTAATTGTTAATAAGGGTTATCATTAGAATTCTTATCCGACCGGTAATTCTAAGGTCCTAAGGGATTTGTTAAAATACCGATAGTTCTCTTAAAGGATTAGTTGTAGTACGTGTAAGTTGGCTTAGACATCTTCGATTATAAAAATGAAAAACATGCCAACGATTTTTGAAAATCGTATTTGAGACTCAACTACCTCCAGAGATGAAGCAAATTAAACCCTAAAAAATAGAGGTGGGCATTTCTTAGAATTTATATTATACTTTTAGACATTAGTATATTATCAGTGAACATCGAAGGAAGAAACTTATTTGATTGAAAATAGTAATATTCTTGGTTTTTTTCTAGTTTTGTTGATACTAATAAACAGAATTGGAATTAAAAAAAAAACCAACAAATTCGAATTTTAAGAAAAAGTAAATATGTTCTATTTGGGAATTTTGTGCAGACATATTTGCTATTATTAACTGTGTATCATCACCTAACATAGTAACAGAAATGACTCAATGCTGTATCTCCATCAAAACAGTACCTGACTGACTAGCTATTCTCTACGCTATAACACGAACACTGAACTTTCTAACACATCCTAATTTAATTTTGATTGTCTATGAAAACTTCATTTGGTAGACGAAAGTAATGATGCTGTAGATTCAAGCTCTTCTTCCCAGAAGAACGGGTGATTTTCTTCCTTAAAATATCCATTATCTCCAGCAGTACTTACCCACAACTTAGAATTCTTTTGTGGCTTTTCAGGTGTTTTTTCGTTCCTTTCCTCGTTCAAGAAACTCTGGCGCAAGTCCCCCAGTTTGTCATCCTCATTTATATAATCATTAAAGTAAGAATTACATTTCCCGTACGTTTTTACATTTGAATCTCTGAAACTTTCATCTATTTCTGAGGATCGCTGCTGGGTGAAGCTCCCAAACCCTTTGATCTCTCGAGTTACCTTACGAGCTCTTGATCTCTCTTCTTTGAGTAGTGACTCACTTTCGAGAAGTTTTATTATTCTCTCAGATAATTTTCTGACACTCAAGCCCCAGTTGAAACTGCATAACACATACGCATGAAATCAACATATGAGTGGTGAAATGAAGTGAAGATGAAGCAAAATGATGAACACATAATAAAATAAAGCAGTAATTAGCATTTAACAAGTACCCTTTCTCGTCGATATATTGAAACTTTCCCATCTCCTTTATAACATCTTCATCACTTTGAAACTCCTCAGCCATTCTTTTGGGTCCATGAGTTAGAAGGTGTTCCAGTAAAATTAGAGCGTTGTAAGAGGCTCGCCAGTTCTTCCTATCAAACTTCAGGAACCTGAATTATGTTGGAGAAAATCCAGGAAATTTTCAAATAGTCAGATAGTTATAATCAAATCTTAACTTATAAAACTCATAATAAACTTACCTCTGGTGTACAATCTCTACAATTCGCCAATAATCATCAACTTCAAAGGCAGCCCGTGATATCACACCCATGGTACGTGTATCAGGCGGCCATAGATTTCCACTTGTAGCTTCTTCTGTCAACCTTCAAGCCCCAGCCACAAGAATTATATTAAAAAAAAAAGGGAAAAATCCGTGGAGAAAATGTATTCAATATCAGCATGGAACAATAAACTTACAGTTCTGCGGGTGTAACATCAGTCAGAGCCAATCGAGCAGTCTTTATCTTCTCCTTGAAGTAGAAAGAAGCTTGTGTTTTGAGATTATGGAAAACAGGATTGCTCATNAATAGTCAGATAGTTATAATCAAATCTTAACTTATAAAACTCATAATAAACTTACCTCTGGTGTACAATCTCTACAATTCGCCAATAATCATCAACTTCAAAGGCAGCCCGTGATATCACACCCATGGTACGTGTATCAGGCGGCCATAGATTTCCACTTGTAGCTTCTTCTGTCAACCTTCAAGCCCCAGCCACAAGAATTTTATTTGAAAAAAAGGGAAAAATCCGTGGAGAAAATGTATTCAATATCAGCATGGAACAATAAACTTACAGTTCTGCGGCTGTAACATCAGTCAGAGCCAATCGAGCAGTCTTTATCTTCTCCTTGAAGTAGAAAGAAGCTTGTGTTTTGAGATTATGGAAAACAGGATTGCTCATTTTGGACTTATTGTTTAGAGTACTGAGGCTTAACATTTCTACGGTAAGGTAGGAAAAGAAAATGATAGAAACAATTCTTTGATGTTTTTTTTTTTTTTCGACTCTCAAAGCCTTGTAAGATAGAGCTTAAGTACGTAAGAATTGCAACAACTCCATTACAACAAGAACAAACACCAACTACTCTTAAAAAGTGACTGGCTTGCGTAAGAAGACTAATAATAAAATTCCATGAAAGAATATTTTACAGCAGATAAGCAACTTTTAATTTAAAACTGCGATAAGGATGCTGATAACAACGCGGAAATTTATAGCTAAATATACAATGGTCAGTAAGGCTCTTTTCTTAATTAGAAAATTTTCTTGACCAAAGTCAAATTACTGTAATCTTTGACCTGGAAATGGAAATATATCTCCTGACATTTGAGTTGATGTCTACCTGACAAGAAAATTAGGTCCTTAATTAACAACTTAACAGTTATCGTGAATGTCCCGTTTGCTGATTGAGGGTTCAATATCTCAGCTTGCTGTGATCACTGATCAGTACCCAAATGACAACACATTTAATTTAGACTAACAAAGTAAACGTTGTAATGATAGTCTTACCAAACTTTAAGCTTAGGATAAAGGGTAGGCTGGGGCTTTGGCGGAACCGGAAAAAAAAAATGTCCATCCTCAAGAGTAGCTTGGATGGGAGTAAACACTTTTCTCCACCCAAGGTTTGTCTTAATGACACTTTTACATCCAAAAAATTTCAAAATACTATTTTTTCACCCAAAGTTAATATTCCGTTATTACCCAAAGCCGATTCCGGCTGATTCTGACAAAGAAAACCACCATTTGAATATCTGGTCTCTTCTATACAAAACCTTTCTCACTCTAGCACTTGCTTTTTCATCGATTGTCGGTCATTGCAAAACTAAGGTTTACTGTTTTTAGTTGATTTTTGGATGATTTCAATGGCAAATATTCAATCAGTCATCACCACTTGATCTAGTGGCCTCCACTCTAGAAAACCCCTCTCACTCTAGCTCCTGGTAACTTGCCTAACTTTGGCTGAGAAAATAAAGTATATTTTGAGTATTAACGGAATATAAACTTTGGGTGGAAAAATTGTATCTTGAAACTTTTTGGGTGAGAAAATGTATTTAAGGCAAACCGTGGGTGGGAAAAAGTCGCCTACTCCTTGGATGGCAGTTAAAGCACTAGTTGACCAGTATATGAAAATGTAGCATAAATGAGGTTCTGAGTTTCAGATTAAGAAATTGTTAAATGAAAAGATAGATGAGAAAAATTACTTTACCGAATAAAATTAGGCTTGATTTCATCTTCTTGAGATAGACTATTGTTCAAGTGTCTCTTCTCAAAGCTAAATTTTCTCTTGTTTCGGTCTTCCCATTGACATTGTAATACCTTCTTCAAAGCATAAGTTTTTTCTATATTTCTTATTATGAAGCTAAAAATGAGGGGAATTGATCATTTTCTTTATGTTTATTTTATGGACATTTTAAAGAGGTATTATTATCAAACGTATTCAATGAATATCAGTTTTAAACCAAAATTATGTTTTAAAAATAAATAAAGGAACCCTCAGTATGCAATGCTGTTGGTAGCATGCCCTGTAATTCGTTTTAAAGCAAAACATGGTGGAACAATACCCAAGTCACGAGTGTGTCTAAGGTTGGTTTAGGTATGTAAATTTTCAATTTAGTTAAGAGTCTTACTCTGGTGATATTTGTCAACATTGCAAGAAGACCTGAAAAATGCACCTAATCTTCGTGATCGAAAATCGTAATTATCATGAATATATAATCATATAGAGAAGATTATTGGCTCTTGGAGTTAATTGTCAGTGAGTATGAATAAGACAATTAAAGAAGTGGCTCAAAGAAATAATACAAATGGAAACCGTATGGTTTGGTAATGGTCGGCATAAATAAGAACATTAAAACTGAGGTTTTTGCTCGCTCAACTGTAATTTTAATGATGTGTATAACCTACGGTTGCCTAATCAGTGTCTCTGATTTCTCTGTTGCATTGAACTAGATCGAGTGGTATGTAAAATCCTACTAATGGATAGTTGCGAATCCAGTCAGGCTTGAAGGCTCATTTGGCAATCTTCCACATACCCGTCCTGTATCCAGCTGACATAAGCGCAAGCTCCCAAAGCATGTTGGGGATGCTCAGGGGATTCACCTTGGACCCGGGAATCTCAGACCAATTCACAGATATCTCAACCATAGGAATGTTAAACCTTTTGCATAGAAAAACTATCTCGACATCAAAGCACCACCTGTACAGTCCAATTTGCTCCGTCATAACAAATTTTGAAATTTAAGCCAACAGGAAATGGCAGGTCACAGGTGGAATTAATCATTGCTTATGTGGACAAGATGAAAGCAGATTAGAGGTATTATATGCCACTCCATAAACACAACGAGAACATGAAGCCACTGTCAATTTCTGTTCTCTTCAATTTTTGGAAATTAACTTTAATTTAAGGGGAGGTATCAATAGGTTAAGAAGGTCCAAATTACCTTTTCAGACGGATATTTGTGAAAAGCTTCCTTGCCGCAGCCCTAGAAAACATCTTGAAACCACACTGAAGCACCAAGAATTATACGTTAGATAATCAACAACAAAGTTACTCCAATTTCAGTATACATTATTAAATAAGAACACAAAAGGGTTAAGATTGGTAATGGAGAAAAAAATGAGGTGCCAAAACCAAAAGTAAAGAAACATATAAGACAAAACTCACCTGTGTATCACGAATACCAGGACCAGCAGTCAAGAGAACCACAATATGGAAACCCTTCATCAAAAAATTGCGGTACCACTTCCTCTGAAACGAAGTAAACTAGTTCAACTAAAAGAAGCTTGAAGCAAAAATGAAATGCAGAGAGACCAAACATGTATAAAATAGTGAGTGGCATTATCAAAACTTAACAGTAGCCAAAGCTTTCTCTTGAAGATGAGCACGAGAACCAAATGCAGCTACTGGGACATCAGATATTCTAAAACTTGAATCACCAGCTGCCGAATCTCCTTGATGATACTCCTTTCTAGCAACTGCATGGATCTATATGGATAACATCAGGTATTCTGTAGTACATGGCTAATATTTCCACATACCTTGAAATGAATTTTATGCGACAACTAAACAACTAACTTAAACTGCAGTATTATATTTATAGTATAAATCTGAGCTAATACTAACCTGACTTTCAAGTTTTTCTAAGTCATTAACCTTGGTCGCACCATCAGCGTCCAGCATTAGAAGTAATTCCCCACGAGAATGAAGCATTCCCTGTTTTACAATGCTTTCACAGAAGTAAAAAGCTTCAATTAATTGTTGTCACAAGTAGCAGAAAAGGAATCCCTTCAACCTTATAAAACAACTCACAACAGATGAGATGAATTTTATAGCTTAGACTCACTTTTCTTATAGCTTCTCCCTTGCCATGATTTCTTCCAAGGAGGATGATCCTCACATTGTCCACTGTGTATTTCTTTACAAAGTCAAAAGCTACTCTTTTTGTCCCATCAACACTTCCGTCATCAACAATTAACACCTGTCCAGTAACTCAGGAGTAAATAAGTGTAACTGGAATGCAGAATATGTCAGTGTAAAGCCTAAACTCAAATAATGCGCAAATAGTAATCCCTAAAAATCTGTTAGAAGTCAATTCACTTTTGAGTGTTCATACAAAGATTAGTATATCATTTAATATACTAGATTAAACAACATTGAAAGCCACATTTCAAATTGCCATCAATATGAAACATTCAATTTTTAGCCTATCAACAATAACAAAATTTCGGTGAAAATAGAGAACAAAATCATCCAAGCATTATATATTATTCTTTTAGTAGGATTATGTAGTAAGGCAATATAAGCAAACTCAATAAATCATGAACATACACAAATACAGACAAAAATAAATTCTTATCTCTTTCCAGATGAAACACAAACTACAATTTTACACTAGCAATTCTACTACAATCAGCTCTCATTATTACGAATCTTAGCTCAGATAATCCAACAAATGAAGGAAACAAAAAGTACCTCATAAGAGAATGATTTATCCTTTGACGCACGCTGTTGAAGGTAACTACAAAGTAAAAATTAAGATCATTATTCTCTAACATTGCAACTCTTTCATGTAACAGTAATCGACATAATCATAGATCATTAAAACAAACACGCCATATTTGAGTGAATTCATATACAACGTTATCTAAAATTTAAGCTGCATTGCCCTAATAAAATTAGTAAATGTGCAACCAAATATAGTTAATAAATGACATTAATTTTGTGATTCAACTTACTTCAAGGTTTCATCAAGAGCTCCAGGAAGCCGATGCTCTTCATTGAATGCAGGAATTATCAAAGATATATATTTCTCCGCTGGATCAGTAAGAGAAGGACAAGGAACCTGAAAAAAAAATGTAAAAATAAATAAATGAATGGTGAATCTAATATGAAATATAAAATAATTTATTTATCTAACCTTTTTCAAAGAATTAGGATCTTCGAAGATTGCAGAAGCTTCAACGTGGCTGTTTCAATGAAGAATTAAAAATGCAAAAGGAGATAAAATTAGAAAAATTAAAAACAAAATCGGAAGAAATGAAGAAAGATAAAAATAAAATAAAATAAAATTTGAATATTAGGTTTTCCATTAATGAGGGAACATACTCGTTGTTGTGTCTTCTTCTATATGCTTCGAAAATAATCACAGAAACTACTCCAAATAGCACAAGCAGGATCAGAGCCACCATGACCTCCACAATTGTCCATAGCAACGCCATCGTTTCTCCCCAAGCTCGTGTTTTTGTTATTTGCCGTTGACGAGTAAATTATCAAGTGACTGTTATCTCGTCTCAAATTTAGTTTTTTTTTTTTTCAAGATCTATTAGCTATTTATGACATTATCTACTTTAGAAGTTCATTGATCACCAAGCCCGTCTAGCTCAGTTGGTAGAGCGCAAGGCTCTTAACCTTGTGGTCGTGGGTTCGAGCCCCATGGTGGGCGTTTTTTATTTCTATTTAAGTTAAACAATTTGAATTTCTCATTTTTCATTTTTTCCAACGATGGTGAGGTATCGTATATTAGGAACATTGTGAATTTTTCTTCTTTTTTTTGGAAATATAGAGAATTTTCTATTGAAATTTGAATATCAATAAAAAAAAGTCCGTTTTATATACATTTATTAACAAGTGAGGTATCATAAATCGGGAAAAAAGGACAAAAACTTTTTAATTATTTGAGGGAATGCAGGAAACATTTTCAAAATGTCAGGATTTCATAACAAACATGTTAAACATACATTTGAATTATTTGAGGGGCTGAAGGAAACATTTTCAGAACGCCAGGATTGCCTTCTTTCAAGTTCCATGACGATCAAAGCAAATAAGATTCATGAACATTCAGTTTCAGATAACAGAGATTTCGCAATAAATCCTGTGGATTCTTTCTCAAGGGCATGGGGTACTGCAAGGTTCTGTGTATTAATTTCTGTGCTCTATGGCGAATCTTCAGCAGATAATGACTGTAAAGTTCTTTGTCCCACAGCTTCAGTCCTTGTCATGTAATCCATTTTATATTCTCTGTTACCATCTTTTAATATATTTTCCTGGGGCCTTATCTACTGCCACCCCATGGCACCTAATGCCATTGCCAGCACACATTCGAAATTCAAAATACAACTACTATTTTCAGAAAACAGATAATTGTTTTTCAAAAAAAGTGATGAGAAATCCCTACAATAAACGCTAGCAGATGGGGCCTCTTTTTACAAACTCAACAGAGGTCCCTTTATTATACTAAAATGTTATCATTATTAATAATTTCCAACTGCAATTGTGTTTGATTGTCTCACCAGCATGTAGACATGTAATTATACATACGAATGTATGCATGTATATATATATATATATATATTAGGGGGTGAAGAAAACTGATCAAGTGGGCACAATTTATCAAGGAGAGAGATGGGAAGCAGTCATGTGAAGAAGCCAGAAGGTTAGCTGGGCTGTGACCTTCTCCTTCCCATGGTATGATTAAAGGCACTAGAAGAAAAAGAAAATTAAAGTTTTTTTCTTTTTCCCCCACTTTAGTAGACCACAAAGCTTTTGTTATCGGTGGAGAGGTTGGCCCTTCACCCTACCCAATTCTCCTTTTCATCATGCCAGACTACTTTTCCTAAATTATTTATTGAAATTTTCAATGTATTTATGCACCACACATCATTTTTTTTTTTTCTCAGTTTTTAATTTTGATATTATCTTCAATTGAATGAATGAATGAATTTGACAGTTACAATTGATACTTTTTCTAAAAGTGAATGATATTTAGAAATATTTCTCAAGGTTAATAGCCTTTTTAACCTACGGAAATATTGTAAAAAATTTGCACCAATTTATAAAAATAGTTTAATGATGCCAGCGACAAGTTTTTGCGAACCAATTTGCAAGCGGTGTTCACGGGTAAGATATCAGCACAATTTACTAGAAAACAGTGTTGTAGACTTTGGAGGAAGAAATTTTTTGGATGGCCTGCATCTGCATCAGTGAAATAGAGATCAAACTGACTCTGCAACTTCACTTTACTTCAACTACTTGTATTTATAATGATAGTGATAGTATACCATTAATTACACTGTTAATTAACTATTGTAACTTCAGATGTTGATCTCTCAACTCTTTCCCTAAAAGCTCATCAACATTTTGCAGCTGGATCAGTTCATAGTTCTAGCTTAGAACAAAGTTTACTATTAATATTATCTAAATGGTTGCTTGATGATGTCGCAAAACATACTGTGATAAAATTAGAAGATATTCACATGTCTGCAAGGTCATATGTCACTAACCTGATCTTCAGAATAGCCCAGAAATTGGAAATGAAGAGTTTCAATTACCTTGTACAAAGAGTTTGAATTCACTGTAAAAGACTGAGATTTATTCATACTACAATACAATTTTTTTCCGGGACAAATAAAACATAAACAAGATCCCCAACAAATAAACCAATTCCCCATACCCAGAAGAAAAAAATATTTAGAAAGTCGACAAAATAAAAAAGTCTACAAGAAGGAGATAATGATATATATCGGTGATGATGTTGATGATAATGATGTAAAAAAGAAGAAAGATGAATGTTTTGAAGATAATAGAGATGTCTAATGAGCCATAGCGACCGGAGGAGTACAGTAATTGATGTTTCTCTGGTTAGGCATCGCGAGCATCACTGTGTGATCCAAGAAATCGTTGAGTGCAACAACCGACTGCAATATTGTTCTTAGATCATCGGCGCATGAGAAGCCAATGTTGCCAACTCGCCTCACTGCATATACATAGAAAGTGATGCAACCTTTTCTGAATTTGAACCGAGCCATTTCACATCCAGTTAGCCCTCTTATAAGCTTCTTGTTCACTTCTCCGAGAGGTATCTCCGGCGGCCATATTCTGTCCACTGCCAACTTCATATTTTCAGATTCAAAAACAAATAGAACTACTTTAGACTTTTTGGTGCCGAGCCCAAGTGTAAGTGTATGCCAAGCATGATGCGCCAAGATTGTGAAGTTTGTAGGCAAGAAGCCTGTGGTTGAAGGAAAATGGACTTTGTTATTGTTGTTGGATTTATTTATTGGTGGGTAAGAAAGGAGTTTCAGAAGCTCAGGAGGTCTTGCTCTTCGGATTGTGAATGATTTTACAATGAATTGGCCTCCAAATTTCAGGCCTTTTACCTCGGAACAAGGCTTGAAAGAAATATCTGAAGCTGGTTTTGTGGTTTGTTCATTTGGGTGTTGGTGTTTTTGCTTCTTGTTGTTCTTCTTCTTCTCTTTTTCTCCCATGGTTTTTTGGGTTTCTGGTGGTGCTGGTGGTGGTGTTGGTGGCTAGTGGGTTTTGTTTGTGTATAATAACAAACCAATCTAAAGCTTTTGTTTGGGATACTGCAGTCAAAAAGAGAGTTATCACTTTACAGAAATTTGCTCTCTCTCTCTCTCTTACAAATGTATATGCCACTCTTCTATTATTAAAAGTGATCTCAGATATTGAAGAAGGTAACTTTTTATTACAAAAATATTATTGGATTAATATCAATAAATTTTAATTAATATCTGTATTATGCAAGTCAATCTATAAATTAAAGGGGTTTCTTGAGATGAAAGTAGTTGGAGTTCTTAATAGTTTGATGCAGTATCTCATGATGCTCCCACTTTCTTTTCTTTTCTTCATCTTTTTCCTGTATATGATACCTCGGAATGTACCATTTATGCTATAAAAATTGTGTATTCAAGGATACAGATGGAGGAACAATGTTACCTAATGATGTCCATGCAGAGTTGTAATTAGGTGTTAAATCATTACAAAGTTGAGTGACAATTAAGATCCATAATTCCCTCACAGTAACAGATCATCAGCAGATTTTGGCAAGAACAATGCATCTAACAAGAACCCATCTCATAATTCTGATCCATTCCAAAGCCAAGGCTGCAAAAACCACATATACTTTCACAAATTTCAGAATCATAACGTGCTGCTTCAACATCTTGGGCTTATGAAATCACTCAAATTAAACCCGTATCTAGTTTTGGTATATGTGCTCACTAGTGGAGAACAGGGACCACCACATTATGATAATCCTGAACTTGATTAATTAGTTTTCTAATCTTAATTAAACCCATCAATACAAATAATATTATCAAATCGATACAACTAAACTTACCAACCTGTTACATAAAATTTCCCACCGTTTCATTTCAAAAGCTGACTAATTTTCTTTGAGTCTATTTGGTTATATGGACACTAGTTGTTTGTCAACAAAGCTAAATGAGTCTTGACTGGAATTGGCCTGGCCCCATAATTGGCACAGGTTTGGTGGAGTTGTTCGGAGAAAAAATTTCAGGAAAAAAACAGAAGTGATTGCCTTTGGCTCTGTTTGTTTTTTGGAGAGATAAGGTCTGCTTACCTCATTTCGCAACCAATAAGTCTTCTCATTAAAGTGTTGTTTCCTTCTAAAGGCACCATTGCCTTCAATCATTTCATGAGAAAGAAAATCCTGAGGTCTTTAGAACACCAACTAAAAGCAAAATTCTTGCCGTTAGGGGCCACCCTGTCCCTCCAATAAAATTCTGCCTGCTTTCATGTCCTGTAAGAGGATTGCTTCCATTTATCACCCTTATATGAAAATGAACAAGTAACAGATACATAATTTGTGATAAATAAAAAATAAAAAAAAATCCCATATTCAAATTTTATAATGTAGTTATGTTATTTATAATTAGGAGTAGATTCATTAAATCCAATTAATTACTTCATTAATTATATGGTCCTTTCAATATCAAGCAACAGAAGGGATATGTAATTAAGTTGGTAATAAGAATATTCATAACAGAAGTGATGAGAATATCAGTTGGTTGCGAATTAATTAGTGATGAAAGAGATCACTCCAACTAACAGTGGACCAAAGTTGTGATTATTATTCATTTAGGTATAAAAAGCTAAAAGCTTAATTTAAGCATTGATGTAACTTTTGTTTGTGGAAGAATTGTGCCCAACTGAATTGGGCATCTTCTTAAAAGAATATTTTCTCTTCATACAATAAGAAGCAAGAGTTCCTTTTAGCAGCCCGGCCCAAAAGCTCATCATCTTCTCAGTTAATTAAAAATCTTTTAAAAAGACTATACTTATCGATTCTACAGACCGACTCTACATCTCAATTAATGTGGAATACGATGTGGAGAGTTCTCATACTAACTACATTGCACTCCATGCGAGTCAGGATGGAGAGTCGGTTTGCAAATCGGCAAGTGTAGTCTTGTGTGATTATGTGGTTAATCATGTAGGGCGTTAAATATCCTTCAACTTTTTGGTATCTATTTTCTCTTTTTATCTTTTTATTGTAAACATATATGTAACTGAAAAAATGATATAGATATATTAATTTGTTACTTATTTTTAAAATAAAAACCACCTTCACTTTTTTGTAATCTTAAGGGGTTACAAACTTACAAATGTAGTAAAGTTATTTCCTATTGTACCTTTCATATTATATTTAAGATTCTATTTCCTTATCAAGTTGGTGTAAGATAGGAATACAACGACAATAAGAGAAGTGAATATCTATTTTTACACGAAATAGGAAAGAGTCTTCAAGTAGAAAACTAGTTCCTTGTTGTGCCTTTTACATCGCTTGATCAAATGTTTTTTTAATTTCTCTTTATGATGAAAACCACCTTAAATTTATTAACATAATCAATAATCTCTCTCCCAAAAATTAAGGAAAACAACCCCCCCCCCCCCCCCCCCCCCCAAAAAAAAAAGGAGAGTACAGTTGGTCGTAAAAAATTACTACTAGCTTTCTATCAACGGAAAAGCTCGAAAGAACATATATGTCTTCCTAAAAATTGGCAGTTGGAGTTGCTCTACAGGCCGTCCAGGCCTGGCTCAAGGGGTAGGCAGGTGAGCCACCTGCCTAGGGCCCCCCAAAAATAGGGGCCCGAATCTTTTATAATTTTTTTTAATATATTACAAAAATGAAAATGGTGTATGATTTTTTATCCAAACCAGGGGTAAAAAAAAAAGAAAAAGCCAAAAAGACTAAAATTTATTATAAACCTTTTACATATATTCCCATCCAAAGTTTGACAAAATAGCAAGTTTGTACCTCTAATTTCATATATTCAAATTTACACCTCTAAATGAACACATTGAATTTCTTTTAACAATAAAAGGTTAAGATAGTCATTTATATGTCTCAAATTATTCAACCCTAATTCCATCCCAAAATTCAACATTGACACAAATTATCTCCACGCCTCTTCCGCCGCCAGCCGTTTGGAGCTGATTCCGATTGATTTTCTCATCAAAATTAACTAGAATCATCACTTTATCATTTCCCAAGTGTTTTTCCAGCCTCGATAGTCCTCGATTTGGTTGATTTTTTACGAATCTCATAACCCAACTCCACTGCGCATGACAGCCATTTTCGGCCTTTTCAGCACGTACCCAACATTGTTGGCCTTCCCTAACAACACCATCTTCCTCCCCTCAACTCTTTCACCAAAATCCCTATCATACCTCATCCATTTACTCTGTCAATCGCCGACCATTGATACCTTTTGGGCTGCGACTTCTCAAGCCTTTTTTGGCCAATCCGGCCATTGGAAATTACCTATTTCACCACCCATCACTTCTCCAACATCTGCTCTCTAAAATCCCTTACCAACCTGACCCCGTTCGCCTGCCGATCGCCGTCCACCTCTCCTAGTGAGTTTGCATCTCAAAAGGCAAGAAAATAAATTTGAAATAATTTTTTTTTTAATATATGCTTATATTATTAGAAGGCCTTCAAAGTAACTCTTGCCTAAGGTCACAAATGTTCTTGAGACGGCCTCAGATCTACTTAATTATTATATATCTTCCTCGTATAATCTCAAGTGTATACACAATTGCCGCTACCTGTACCCAAATACATAGAAAAAATGGAAAGAATTAATGTACGAAATCTAGAGTTTAAAAAATAATGTTATACCTACAAACTTTAAGTGTTATGCCTAAAAAATCAAGGCTGATGTAAGCCTGCATCAGCTAGCTCCAATCAGAGTGCAGGAAGGTTTTGCATCGTCCAAGGGTTGCCACGTCACCCCAAGATAGAGAGAGTATGGCTGTCACCAACTTGACAGATTCAGATTTTGTCTATAAGTGAATAGAAGCCATACACTTGTCCAAACCCTAGGTAACTTGAGGATATATCATAAGTTATCAGCCAATAGGAGGCAAGGAAAGACTTGCACAACACTTACTCACTTGTAAATTTGTAACCATTACCTCGAATTCCTCTACTATAAATAGAGGACTCCCCCTCTCATTTTCGGGATTTTGATACAGAAAACTCACACTTTGATTGTAATCTATATCTTCAGAGCAAAGATAACCTGCGAGAACGAGACTGACTTGATATTCTATCCAAATAATCAATCGTTATACCTCTGCTCGCTGTTTGCTATTTCCGACCTCTTATAATCTCTCATATATAAAAGAACAATTAACGTAGGACTTGCGTTAAGCATCTAAACCACTTTAAAAATTATCTTTTATTTATTACTCAGTCTTTGCATTAGATTATTATATTTATTCACGTGTAATTTTTAAGAGCTATTTAACACTTTGCACATGCAAGTGGTTGGTGTTAAAATCAAGCATCAACATTGAGTAAAACTAAGTTATAAGAATCTTACTTGTATTCTGAGTAGTGGGGGTTCTACTATTAGAGAAATCACAGCTGCCTTCAGCAAGGCCACTGGCGACGTAGTAAGCATTCATGGCGAAAGTTGCGTGAGCTTTCAAATTGTTGGGTTCAAAGCAATCTCCACCAGGTTGAATTCGCTTGCAATCCACATCCCTGCTACCGCAAGCATAGTCGATGTTGGCTTGCAAAGCTTGATCATTAGCGTCTGGTTTTTTGGCACACAAAATTTATTTTCTGATAGGTGGGCCGGCTGTTGAGGCACTGCATGGTCAGAAGGGTATGGTCAGAAGTGGTGACGGTCAACAGGTTGAGGACCAAGATGCTGACAAGGAAGACAGTGATGGTGCTGGCCATCGCCATTATTCTTGTTCTTGTTGCTGTTATTGATGATATTGCTTATTAAGATCGGGTTGTTTTGATTGCAAGTAAAACATGCACTCTATTTATAATATGAATGTCAAGTTATATTTTTGGATCAATCCATGATTTGTGGTTTTCAAATTGCGCAAATGGGATAACCCATAATAGTTTTTGACCAATTAATTTGGATCACGATTTTGACTTTGACTTGGAAGATAGTGTTTTATGTAACTCTTTTGTTTTGATTAGACTTTTATTTTTTATCTATCTCAGGGATTTGTCCTCTACTAGGTTAGCTGCCTTTATAGGTTTTTTTGTACATCCTTTTTATTTTTCTATTTAAAGCTTAATTACCCAAAAAATATATATATAGTTCAA